AGAGTACTATTAGTATTATAAAGGGTATTATAGGATATTATAAATGACATCAGAGATATCCAAATAAATCATACAAAAAAAAAAAACTGTACTGCAAACTTACGATAGTAGTTGTAAGAAAATTTACCCTAGTTTCTCAATAACGCAGAGATTGAATCAATCAACAACGTGATCGTAAAAGAAAGCCGGGAGGAGGGGAACGTTGAACTTGAAACGTGATCATGAAGAAAGGGGATCAATTTTTTCTGCCAGCTTAGACAATCCGTTCCGAGTCTTAGGAGTCCCAGCGCGATTCTACTTATTCCAAGTCCCTTCACCGCATCCCGTTTGAAACAATTTCATCCTCTTTTCTCCCGAATTTCCTTATTCTCTCCCTCCACCCCTCTGCTCGATTTTCATTCGTTCCTCTCCTCGAGGCTGCTGAGTATGCGAAATTTCGAGCGTCAGGCGAATAGAATCGCGGCAAACAGCTCGAAACAGGGAGAACAAAGGGCGAAAGAGATGGAGAGAAGAGGCAGCCGAGAGAAGAGAATCCGATCGCTCGAATCACCGACAAATATGAGTGCCTCGAGCGTTCCGCAGGGAGTCATCGACCGTCTAGGATTTCTCAACTTTCGTCTCCGTGCCGCTTGGATTTGGCTGTGTAATATCTCCAAGGACAAGTTTTCAGGGAATAATAGAAAACGTCTGTACACGTTCTGAACACCTTCCTCTGCTGATTCGAGTGTGAAATCGCGACAATTTGTCTGTATGAAGATTCGTACGATAATTGAAAGCCATTTATCCCGCGCTTATAGTTAGCTTCAGATATTCGCATCTAGACTAGATAAAAAGAAAAATCCAAAAATACAAATTGTTATGTTACGTGTTTTTTATGTTACCTTGTACAATCGACAAACCTATTTCGAAAGCTGATCGTAAAATAATAAACAATTACAGTACGTCTGAAGTTCTCGAATTTATGAAGCTTAACGCTGTAACGACCGTCCACTTTCGAAAGTAATTTTTGCTAAGAGCAAGATTCTCCTAGGAATTTACAATTGTTGAAAAACACCTGACACTGCAGTAACGTCATTGGCCCTTACAGTTTTAATACTTCACTTAGAACTCTCAGAAAATATCCTTTATTCAAGCTGTAATAACACTAATTTTCCCTGCTACCCGTTGCTAACCAGATTTTCTCTGCGATTTAGTACTTTCCTTCCAAAATCAAGCGAAAATCATAAATAAATAGGCACGTAACTCTATTCAATAATAATTCAGCATTTTGAACATTGTACGTCTTTCTTTATTTGTATTTTACTTTGCCAAAAGTAAATAAGTTAAATAAGTATTACATATAATTAATTAACCAGCTTGCCTTGTGCAACTGTCATGATTTATCGTATAGGATATTGGCAATCTACGCAAATATTTGTTAACAGTACTGAAACTCGTAGGATCATTAGTGAAAATCGAAGAACCCGTTAGAATTTAGCTTTCCATGATCTATGACCGAGTCTCCAATGAACTTGAGAAATCCCAGCAGATGTCTAGGAAAACGTTGTAACAAAAAAAAGAATTTAGCCACGGAGTGAGGAGCGTAACAAATTCTCTGGGAAGAGGATTGTCACTTTTTCGTTAGCAATTTCTGACAAACCTGGACGACACAAGTACGTAGCAAGGAGATACTATTCGTCTTCGATGAGCTATATTTCTCATATTATGCGAGCTAGGTCAGTTATCGTTGGCTGGAGAAATATCGAAACTAGTGATGTACGATCGAATCGCAGTTTTCTCGGAACGAGACAAACGAGGTCTGCCGCGGAAGAAAGCCAGCGAGCTATGCAAATCGAGAAAACGACCGTGAGATAGATTAGCTGGACGTCAAGTGGACTAATGGATATTAGAATCCTGGGCCGGGGATTAAGGAGGGATGTTCCTCCTTGCGCCGGTTCCTGCCAGGTTTCCCCCCTCGATCGATAAACTTCGTAAAATATACGCCGTCACTCGAATGTTATTCATTCTTAATCGATATTCCGTTGGTTTTCACCGAATCCTTCACTGATATTTCAAGATCAGTTTGAAAATTTTTCATAAAGAAATATTTTTTTATATATTGTGACATAAATAAAGTCCAACGTAGAGAAACTACTACTTTCTCTCATTGTAGAGAAACCTTAATTGTAAGAAAACACTGTAAGTGCAAGAAATATTAAATTTTTCAGTCGAAATTAATTTTCCAGCGTCTTTTACTTGAAAATAAAAAAGAACATTATTTTAGAGAAATTACGTTTTAGGAATTTTCTCTATAACAGAGAAATAAAGATAACAAAATTTTCGCTTTCATAAAATCAAGTACATTAGTTCAAAAAATATGCGAAATTTCGTAATTAAATTCTTAGTTACATTTAGTAACCAAGAACGAATCAACAATTTTGTAAATTTAAAGCTGACTGTCTGCTGAAAAAATTTTTAACGTTACACTCGCAGTATTTTCTACAAGCACTCTTCGATTGAACTGTCTGGAGGATCGGTAAGATTGACGATCCATCAACAAAAGTAGACCCTCCCTCTTCGTTGATTAAATTTCAACGAGCAACGACGGTAGATAACCCGGTGTGCTCTTTTGACTAACCTCAAACAGCGCTTTAAGCAATCTAACTTTCAAATTGCGTGACCCAGCAAACGTCCGCGCGCCGCGAGATTTAAACGCGACGATTTCTTCCTCCGCCCGGTGAAACATCCACCCCGGCGCGAACTGAACTTCCAGTTACTTGCGATTCCCTCGAAAAGTTTACCGCCACTCCGACTATTGTCTGCTAGACTACGGCGAGAGCTTCTAGACGTCATAGGATCCCAGTGAGTTCTACTCGAATCAAGCGGACCGTGCTCGAATCTCGCACAGAAACGAGTCTAGTCTTGGAGCGACATTCTCAAAGCGGAGTATTTCCAGACGCGAGGAGTTTCGTCATCTCTTTTCCATCACCCGAAACCAACGATACGTTTAATTTTGATAAGATGTTACATTACAATAAAAAAAAGAAGCTATGGAAGCACGTATATATTAGTAAATGCAATCTACTAATTTATATCAATATTCCTGATTTGCATTCTGAAAATTCATGTTGGCAGCTATTTCTTTGTCTACTTGCCCATCGTGTATTCTTTTCTAGCTGCATCAAGCAATACATTGTGAAGCAAATTGTGCCTGATTGTTCTATATTTCCTTTTAATTCTAAAATAGCCTTTTTGTACGTTTTTATCTAGGATATATATGCGTTATGAAGTTTTGTAAACTGAGGTTGTACAATTTTGACATCTTGATGATGACATCGAGCACTTTGGAAAGTTTATGAACAAGTTGTTTTTCTTCCTTCATTTTAGAAACTCAGATATTTCACCCAGAGATCAAACGGAGAGATAGTCAAACGACGACGATTATTTTGAAAATTCCTTTCTGGAGGACAAAATGCGTGGTATCCATTGCTTGTTAATACTTAATGTACATTTTCAAATACCCGAAGGGGGAAAAAATCACTCGGACAATTCGAAGAAACGAATTTGAACGGTTTAAAGAAACTCATGGAGGCAAGAAGGGAGAATCGGTGTACGAAGAACGACACTTTCTTTACGCACTCTCGATTCATTCGAAAGCAGATTGCATCGAGGCGCATTCACTTTCACTGCGAGCACCGAGAGAAGAAATTACGCGACGGTGGCCGTAAACTGCCGCCGCCAGGCATGCGCGCTCGTCGGATTTAATTAAATATTTGCACTCGGTTTAATCTTGCACTCGGCCGTTCCTTCTTCGCTTCTCCGGCTTCCCTCGATTTTCCGCCTCTCTCTTGTATATATATCTACCTCTTTCACGGCTGGAGCGCGCAGCTTCCTTTCATCCGTCCGCGAATAAATCATTTCCAACGATTTGCATCGAAATAATCAGCCTCGTCCCCGATCCCGATGACCAATCGATGGCTTAAAGAAGAAAGAGACAACGAGACCGTAACCAATGCAATTAACAGAACTTCTTCCAGTTCTTTGCGTTCTTTACTCCCCTCTTTTCATGGTCTTTGCGCGGACAATTGAGCCATTTCGAATTCGAGGAAATCGTTCAATTACCGGTCTGCGAATTTTTATTTGCAGAAATTTGGAAAAGGCAGAAACGAAGCGATATGTATAAAATGTTTAAAACGTAACACATACGTTGTGGTTTCTGGTCATTGAATCAAGATCGCTCGTAATTTTTCATGTTCTTATAATTTTTTTTTTTTTGTAAAATTGAAGAGTCTAAACTGTAGTTTAATGACAGATTTTATTAACTTGAAATGTTGTGCAAGTGTGAAGTACAATACATAGTACTACACACATTTACACAAACGTTAACAAAATTTCTCAATTTTTCTTTATAGAACCGCACAATTTTAACGATTAAGAGGGAGCAGCCTCACAATTGCATATTCCCTGTAATTTAAACTCACAATATACGAAAATTCTATCATTCTCAGAATAAATACTCAATAATATAATAATAAGATGTCGTGTACACTAGGCATATAAAAGACGAACATCTAACAATAAATTGACGAAACTTGAAATTAAACTTCGTTCAAACCCTTCGAAACAATTAATCCTACAAATACGAGAAACTCAGTCGATTCTAATTCAATGTCCACGGGCTGTAAAATCATTTTCTATCTGAATTCCAATTTTTTAACGATACCTACTCGTGAAAATATAAATTTACATAAATATATCACGCATTGGCAACGGATTAATAGATCGATAGTCTAATCTGACTTTAGCTTATTCCTCATTTCTGTCAAGAGACGCATATTTTACATACTATTTGCTACGTTATTCGAAACAATTGGAGAATTCTATGATATTTATTGCATTGATACGGAACAATTGTTCGAACAATTCGCGTAATGCAAATCCGCGTTGTGCAAGAGAACGATTCTCCAATTATTTGGAGAGTTGTTAAATTACTAACGAGCCAATGATTATTAATGCATTACCCGAAACTGATGCAGGCCCGATTCATAGAAAGCAACTGGTAATCCAACGTGAATTTACCTGGAACACAAGAGAAAGCGATTTATTAAAAAAAAAAGAAAAAAAAAAACAATTCTCTCACGGACACGCGTGGGAACGCTATTATTATCTACGTATGGAGCCTACATCGCCGATAAGATCTTTACATTTGATCGTATCAATAGTTTCTTTATTGAACAATGCTTGCAATCTCATTTTCCAATCCTACATCCTTCATCTCATAACCGGATACGACGAGTTAACTCGTCAATGGAAAATCTTCAGCGCGCAAAATGAGTTAATTTAAAGAAACTTTGAAAATCATCCAATTTTCCAATGATGCGTTGACTCGTTATTCCCTCGTAAAATGTTGATTTCTCAACAGATGATCGTTCAGACCATCTTTTTTTCCTTACTTTATCTTTCTTTAGCTTTATCTTCTTACTTGATCCTCTTGTCAAATTAACACGGAGACGCGAAGAATATTCTATCGAAAGTGTAAATTTATTTTTGTATTTGAAGAAAACGTGGTATTTTGAGGGATAAACAAGATTAGATAAGAAATATAAATAACACAAAATGAAGGAAACGGACCGATACTCTAGATGTGTGAAATAAATAAAATGAAATGACAGTCTAAAATAAGAGAACGAATTGCTTAAATCCAGTGCAGCATTCTTTATTCCACAAATTGCACACTGGACATACGAACCACGACAATCTGTACAACATATAACATATTGTCTTCACTATCAATTCATTCCAAACAAAAAAAAAAAAAAAACAAAACTTGTGTTAGATCGATGATTCAGTAAAAAAAAAAAGTGTGTCTTAGATCGATGTTCGAGCGTAGAATCCAAGAAAATGAATCGGTACAATCCGAACGAGTCAATTCCTGGCAACAAGCTACACAACATCGCAGACTTCTCTCGCGGAATTTCCTCGATTTCTCCGCGGTGAGATTTACGGTAATCCTACGCCGAGCACGGAGCGCCGTATATACAACTTTTCGCCGGATTAAGCCGGATAATATAATCCATTATGACGCGGAGGGACGCGAATGCGAATTGCCAGGACGTTCAATTAGGCGGATTCTCGATATTGTTTTGCAAAACGGCACGAACGTTGGTGTCATTGGTCGCGGCCGCGTTTCGCTGACGGAACAGAAACGAGAAAGAGAGCAACACTTGCCCGACGACGGCAATTAGAGACAACCGAGACTCGGATAACGAGACCGTAACCGAATCAATCACCAGTCGAGGAACAACATACTCGAATTTTAAGGGGCTATTAATTCGGTGGATACTCGCGTCGTTAAAATGCTTAACGCGATATGTCCGTGTGTAATGGAACGTCTCGGCTTAATTAACGGCCGGTTATCAGTCTGATAATTGCCCGACATTCACTTTCGTCTGATCTTGCTTCTCGCTTTTCGACAGAATGTACACACCACCGTCCACAAGTATTTAGACAGTTGATTTTCTTGTGTAATTTCCATTTGTCAGATGATTATTGTAGGGGCCAGTTATTGTGGAAAGTAAATGATTAACGTTCTTTCGTCATAAAAGTTGCGAATCTAACTAAAAATATTAATCGTTTGCTGTTTTTTTATAATATAAATCGGACATAAATGGTCTGGCAAATTGACATCGAAACAAGAAGTAACTTTACACCTGCGACATTCGAGAGAGTTCTGTGGTGAATACTTGATATTTTCATTAAATGTGTGGAAACGTTTAGGATGTGGTTAGAAACCACATATGTATGAAGATATCTCAATCGCTCTAAAATATGGAACAGATTTCGGAGTTATGACATATCAGTTTCGATTTTGAAACAACTGTACGTTATATGTAAAAAAGATTTGTATTCAGAATGGTCATGAGTCTTGATAAATTAATTCATCATGAATATTAATAATGCTCGATTACTCGTTCATTTGTTTATTAATTTCGGGCATAATTATTTAACGTTATCTGCTAAAAACTTTTGTCATGCACTTCTTTATTTACACTGCTGTTATCAATAGCCTTTGAAGATCTATAATCGAATCTATAATCGATCTATATTTAAGTGAACATATCTGTTTGATGTATGTATATGTGTTCGGCCCAAGGCTCGGTGAGTTTCTTCATTGCAATGGTCCCCATCACAAACGAACTCGAAAAAAGAGATGCGAAAAATAAATTCATCGAGCCAAGAATAAAACTTTCAGATCCACTATTTCCTCCACGGCAGGAGAAAGAAGTTCCGGAGCAACCCATCAACGTACGACAGTTCACGGTTCGACTATCAAACTCACTCAAATCATTTTACGAATTCAAGCTCTCTCTTATGACAATCTACATTCCTCAATCATACCAATCCAACCCCAAAACAACTCTCCATTGAACCAACTGACTTTCATTAACATTGAAAGGCAGCAAGCCACCGATCTGCTTCTTATACGTCGAGGTCAGATTGGCACGCAACAATATGTACATCAATGTATATCATGCAAGATATGATCTTCAAAATTAGATTAAAGAATCTCTCACTTGAGTTATATTTTATATGTTTAGGGGGTTGATCTTGCCTAAAGTATTTTAGTAAAAAAAGTGAATAACATCTATCATCTATTTAGCCAGAAAAATATGTGACACGTGTATCAAGTGTGCCGGAATATTCGGCCGACAAACCTACGCGCGTAGGTTTTATATAAATCGGATCGAATAGAATTACATCGACGACGATTAACGAAATTTTGTGTTTCGCTCGGTTTCGTGCTCGAGGGAGGGAATGAATAATGGATCTGGACGGAGGCGTTGCTGATGCAGGAATATCTTGGCCTTCGACCGTGAATGGTTAACGCGTCGTGTTTGATATGCTTTCGACTTGCACAAAAATTACGACACGCATCACTATTTCTTTTTCCTCTTTTCTTTCCGAATCGACGTGAGACGAGCGATAGGTAGTGTGCAGGCGAACAATTTCGTTTGATAATATTTTGCGATTGTTATTTATTGACGAGAGGGAATACGTAAATGAGAGGAAACAATTAAGTGGAGATATTTATACGGCATTATATCCGCCCGAGATAAAATGTACGACAAAGCAGATAAGATGTCGAAAAGATGAAAATATTACGTAAGAGGCTTCCAGCTTTAACTCACGAGAGACGTATTACTACGGGAACATATGTATGTACATGTAATTCCACGTTCAAGGCTCTTGGCCTCGATTTTTATGGAACGTATATTACCATGTACTGCAGCCACTGTGAAATCCCAAATCCCAAACACTATAAATAGTAAAATATAGCGTCTGCCAAGGCTTTCAATTCTTTCGTGCCACGTTGAATATTCTTTTAAATTAACTGCTGATAGAAATATATTTTTCACAATCTCTTTACGAAGAAGGTAGAATCAGATTGTTAATTTTAACAGCTTGTTAAAATACGGCGAGCATGTATTGCAGCTCCATTTATCTGATTTTGAACTGTTATGGGAGATAATTGTAATTACGATTCATTGATTTTCCATATTATCTATGATTTTTCGTTCGTGCAACGGGAGCTTACATTCAAATAAATGGATTCAATCGGCGAGGAGTTTATTCGAAGCGCTAATTAAAACTTCACCATGCTACATCTGCTCGGTACAAAAACGAATCAGACGCTTGAGCAGGTAAAATTGTAATTGTTATTCTGATTAACTTTATAATTATCATTATTCCAACTATCCGACTCTAATTTTATTTAATTATCGTTATTCTAATAAACTTTACAACTGGATATCGTAGATCATTGTTATAATCATTCTCGAAACCCAAAATGGTTCAAACGACCATTGTAACACCAATTGTCCGCGTCAAATAAAAAAGGATTAACATTTTGTATAAAACAAATTTGAAAACCGTGACGTTACGACGTCAGAAACCTCAAATTGTACGGTGAATTTTATTCGTACAGTACACACGAATTATTCATACAGGCGAGACGTGGTTGCGAAAGTGGCATCGGTTGCGAAAGAGCAACGCGCGAAAATAAAAGATAATGCCGACGTTGCCTCGCGATGTAAAAAGACTGTTTGCCCATTAGCGTCGTCGCGTCGTAACATCTCTTTTAACCGTTCGACGAGACGGACGAAGCTATGTTATCCAAAAAAAAGAAAGAGAATGAAGTACATGTTCCTCAAGAATAGAGAAACCGACAAAAAAGAGTGAAGACAGAGATAAAAAAAAAAAAACAGCAGGAAAGAAAGATGAGAGAGACGAGTAGTATACCGCGTTTGCTTGCCTCTAAAAAGATGATTTTCGCGCGCAAGCCCGTTTAAGAGACGATAATAGACGGCAATTAGGCGACGACGCGTTGAATTCGCCGACGAGTCGAACAATTAACGAGAAAGACGAAAGGCCGGCGGGTTGAATTCACGAACGGAAACCGGCGTGAAACGTAATTTGGCACGAGGATATGGTTGTCTCGCGTGTCGTCAGCGCCCGGTTGGAAAAACAGCCGAGATAACGACCAGCTGATAATGCATGCGACACCGGTCCAATCCGCGCTGGCGAACTCTTGAAAGAACGGACCAAACGACTATTGGTCGACTTGGTAATTAGCATTCTGCTCGAGGGGAAGGCGGAATTTTCAACCGGTGTTCCGAGGAACGCGTAAAAATCACCGTGAAATCGTTCACAATAGAGGCGAAGTGCTCGGAGGAGATATCTCGGATTCACAGCCGTTTCTGCGGGATTCGAGATTAACTTCTGCCAGTTGTCCGATGAACCAAAATTCGAGCTAATACTACGAGCTGGCGAGGAGTGCCGTTAAATTGGAATTCTATTTTCCTGCTTTCGTTTCAGGAATTTCAGGTTTGAGGAATACGACCGTGGTTATTGATATTGGAAAGACTTCGATAATAGAAGCAAGAATAATATAATACATTGTTGAAGAAGGATAAGTAAACGGTACCAGCTATAGAAAGCATCGTAACTGCAAAATATTTGCCCGTGTATATCCAAAGGACATTTAATCGTTAAATTCAATTACCCATCTTTTTTTACCT